ATATATATATATATATATATATATATATATATATATATATATATATATATATATATATATATATATATATAGGATATGTTGAGGAGTCATGAATACACCTTAAAAAATTAAAAAAATAAATAAATAAAAAAAATACAAATCATAAAACCGACCATAGTAGTATATTGGAAAGAAAAAGAATTGAAAAAAAATGGATCATTAAAACTGAAACATGAATCATTTAAATGATCCATGATTCACGTTTTATAATTTATGATTCAATTTTAATAATCCAATTTTTTTTCAAAATTTTTTCTCTCCGATGTAGTACTATGCTCGATTATAGGATTTGTAATTTTTTTTTCAATTTCTTTATGCTGTCCTCACGAGTCCTCACAAAAAAAAAGAGTCGTCACCGAAACCGAACTCTTTCTCTCTCTCTCTATATATATATACACACACACGCACACTAACCGTGTAAGTGGGAAAAGCTACATCGGTGAATAAGTTTTTTCTGGAAACATGTCATGTTCTAAGAAAAATGTAATGAATTTAAAAGTACCTATGTTATAGGTGAGCACAATTCATGGTCATTTGAAAAATACTTATATTACATAATTAATGTCAAAGATTTAGCAGATACGTAATCAACTTTAGTAGCAACTTTAATCATTGTAATTATATTTTACATTTTAAAAGATAATTGTTAAGCCTTTGTTGAAGTTTTCAAATATAAGGTTGATGGGCAACATACTAATACCATCTAAGGCCTTTGAGAAAATAAAACTTGATTTAAACCTTATTAGATATATTTTACTTTCTAATCGGTGGAAATTAACGTCGTTTATTTATTTGGTATTTTGCCTTAATGACTATCACTTTTATCTTGAATACAAAGACCAACTAATGAGTTGATAAGACAGTTTATAATATTTTTTTATGGATATGTTCCATTCTTATCTTACTTAATGTTTTAAGGATTTGAAGTCTATGTTAGACTAAAGCTTCTAGACCTAAAATCGACTAAATATATATTTCTAGAATATTCTAACAGGTTGCTTAGATTATTTTGTACAAACTCAATAAGAATAAGTTCTCGTATTCCTATGAATATTAATTTATCAGAAAGCAAACTTCTAATGATAAATAAAGTGAAGGGGGGGGGGGGGGGGGGAGATATTGAACTTGAAGTAGTTTAAGAACCATAACCTAATGTACGAAAGGTTAGCTGTAGTTTCAACAATGAATTATTGAATATAATTAATAAGTATTCGTAAACATAAATTGTTCGCATATACGGTAGAAATCATCTACATTATGATTAATATGAAATCTCTCATAGACGAGTCTTTGTTTGGTGGTCAAATCAACAAATAATGGGATAAAATAATAATAATAAAATACAAATCACTGCTACTACATACACTAAACATAGTATAGAGTAAGCATGGTTGGTCCACAAGAATATGAGATTTCTTATTTAGCCATATTTTCACACATCATACAGTCAATGTTAAAATGGGGGATTTTGTATAACTTCAAATTGAACTTCATAAACAAACAAAATTAATAGTAAACTCAAAAAGTGAAAGACATTTCTGATTCTGATTCCTATACATGTGTTATGTTGTAAGATGACATTTCTAACTCTGGTTAGTAGCTCTATCACATTCTCATGCTCCATGGGTTTTAACCTCCATGGACTATCTATGAATTATTGGCTTAGCCCAATTATATACTCATGGATCATTAGCCCATATTACATAGATCATTGATTTACATAATCAATCTCCATATATTTAATTAGTCTCTTTTGATTACAAAATTAATTCCAAATTAATTCTTGACCAATACTAAATAAATAATATTAATATATTAGACTTGTAATATATTCATAAATCACAAATAACCTTATTCTCAAAAAATCATCCAATTAAATTGCACTGGTTAAGGCAACCTAAAAGGACCTTGCTACTATCGGGTCAAGTACATCATAATTATAGTTATGGGCTTAGACTCCAAATCTAACAATAACTTCTTTGTTATAACTTTGATTTCTTCGTTCATTATATCTCCGAAATCTTTGTCATGACCACTACAACTTTCATCATATATATCTGGTTTATCTAACATTTTATTTTTGACTTTTATTTTCATTCTTGATTTATTATATCTTTATAGACAAGTATATAAGCAAATCAAATCACATAATTCACATAATATTCAAGTAATTCATATTTATTACTTCAAAATGAGTTACAAATATTGACCTTGACTAATACATCATTATACTAATGCTAACTCTAGAAATACAGGCGTTACAGTCAAAGATCGAGCTCCTGCTAGTGCCATCATCTGAGAACAAATTGAGCTCAATTGCTAATCCAAAACCTCCAGGATACCCTCCTTTGTCCAAGCCGATGATGATAAGAGTTTGATCGAGAATGCAAAGGGTAATCTCTAAAGAGAGAAACTCCCTAGTATGCTCATCGAGCTGCCTAACTCCAGATCCCGAGCCTGAACCCTTCCAGGCACCAGAACTGCCAATAGGCGTGCTCCGCAATACCACCTTACGAAAAATAGAGCATACTAACCATCTGAATACACACATCGAAATATATATCGGATGAATCACAACTCTACAAACTCCCTGGTTTTATTGCAGCTCTCCTTGAATCGAGTATGAATCCTCTGCTTCCAATAGTATGAGCCCATACTACCTTCCACATCTACCCATACTTTCCTTAAGAATTGATTTGACTAAACCAGGTTACTCTAAATCTATATAATCTTCCCTCACAAATAAGCTCGCAATACTAGATCTCATCCTAGGTTTTCCTAGGGTAAACTCAATACTACTCTCCGCAATCAGTTACAGAAGAAACTCCCGCTAACTTTTTCTAACTAGCTCAAGAATACCATTACATATCACTAAAACAATATAATTCTTCGAACGAGAGGTCTCACACTACAATGGCTAGACTCAAACAAGAGCTGCACAATAGAGTTAAAGCCTAGCCTTCTAAACTTATTTAGTTCCCATACTATGAAACTTAGCATATTCATATACTAGTTAGCTGAAGCTAGTTAGAACTCCTAAAAGCACAAAGCAAGCAGCATTCAAGCATCAAGTATCGTAACCATGCATAACCTAATTAGGTCATCCTATCACTAACTGATTAGTACTAGCATGCAAGTCTACAAGCTCATATCACATGTATACAAAGGGATTTCTCCTAGCATTATATTATGCAAAAATTGAGAAAATCCTTAGCCCTAACTAGCATGTGGTTCAAAGATTCATAGATCAAATCATATCAAATAATACTCATGGGTAATTTGGGAAAACGTATTTGAGCTTGGTTGATTGCATGCACCACACCACTTTCTTATTTTAGAAAAACCCTTTTCTTGAAGTATGTTTCTTTTGAAAAGCTTTACCAAATCCTCAGTTTGAGTTTAGACACACCCAAGAGTGTGTCCAAATCCTTCAAACTAAGGCTCAGATACCAACTTGTAACATCCCGAAAACATGATCCAAAAAATGCATTTTTAATTTAAGTAAAATAGTATTCCAATAATTATCCATACATCCCAAATAAAACAATGGTATAAAATATCATAAAGTCATAGTGAAATACCAAGTACGGAATCCATGTGGTGTGTGCAACGCAGTCACCCTGTGTTCTTCCCCTTGCCACTTAAACTACCTGAAACATAAACTAAAAACCGTAAGCACAAAGCCTAGTGAGTGCCCCAAACTACCCCATACCATACATAATAAATCACATACTGGCCCCCACCCGACATCGAGCCTTACTCGATTAACAAATCTGTAAACCGAGCGGGGCTCGATGCTGGGTGAGGCCCGATGCAGGGCAAGGCCCGATGTCGGGCAGGGGCCTAGCATGTGATTTATTATGTATGGTATGGGGTAGTTTGGGGAACTCACTAAGCTTTGTGCTTACGGTTTTCAGTTTCTGTTTCAGGTACTTCTAGTGGCAAGGTGAAGAGCTCGGGGTGACTACATTGCAAACACCACATGGATTCCGCACTTGATATTTCACTCTGATTTTATGATATTTGATGCAGTTGTTTTATTTGGGATGTATGGATAATGATTGGAATACTATTTTACTTCAATTAAAAATGAAATTTTGGATCATGTTTTCGGGATGTTACACCCTTTCTTCCCTTGCGACACTTTCGTAAAACGTGGAGCATTGGTTGGAAGAGGAAGGACAAAATAGAATATATGTGCCAATTCAGACATAAAGCTCAATTCAAAAGAGGAAACCATTGCTGAGAGAGATTCTAGGGAAAGTGAAGAGTGTGAAGTAAGATTAAATTTCAATAGAAGCTCTTGACATCCAGTAAAAGACTTCTCAATTCTATCGACCACCTTCCCATCTGCTTCGTTCTTTAACTTCATATCACCACAATAATCTTTATTGAAAATAGAAATATCCTCCACCAATCAAATTCTAGCTCCCATCAACACATTAACCTTTTGAGTAACAGAATCACAAAATATATCAAGTTTCTGAACCTCTGTTGAAAATAATTCATTAAACTTCTTTATCTTCAAGTCGATAGAATCCTTGAAATTAGACACCATCTTCTAAAAAATTGTATGACGCTCACCATTAGCTTCTTATATTTTCATAATTTCATAATCAAAACTACGAGAGTGAATAACCAATTTTTAATCAAACTCTTTTCAATACCTTCACTTAAAGTCCTAGTCGTCGACTCTTGAGACTTTAATAGGTACTCGAACTCAACCCCACTATCTGATGAATTCCTAACACAATCATTTAGAAATTGAAGAATAGAAGTCATTTTAGAGTTAAGGATCTTGAAAAGTTAGTGATACAACCGGTATGGATGCAAGTGGAATGGTAGACGTTTGTGGTGGAGAGGAAGGTGGTGGTGGTGGTGGTGGAACAACTGTAGCATCAATTATTATTGTCAAAATCCCATCACCCATGTTAACATTTACATCCTTATTAGATAACTTCTCATTGATATTTGAAGTTTTGTCCTCCTCCATATTGGACTTGAATGCGAAACCTAGGGTAGTGTGAAAATTGTCTTCTCTGGGAGTGATGTGATTGTTTGTCCACCAGAATTGTCTTCTCAGATATGTTCACATTGACATCAGGATTAGTTGTCTCCTTGAACATCGATTTGGCAGAGGTGTCCTTCCTAAGTGAAACATGAAACGAACCATTCAATGCATCCTTTGTAGCAGTTGTAACATGCGTCATATGTGTTTCAACATGATAAGGCTTAAACTTCTTTTTCCTTTGTTCAACTTTTAGCGATTTTCTCTTCTTTGTATAAGGATAATCAGGAGTTGAAACACCTATAATCATAGCACCTCACTTCGTCACCTTCAGTTGTATCGTCTTAGACTGCATAGGGATAACCTCTTGAGTAGTATTTTCACCTACTGGAGTAGGAACCTCATTAGTAACCTTCTTAGATATCTTCTCTGGTTGCATGTCAAAACCATCGTTTATTGATTCTCTTAGGAATATATTTCCTTGTTTTCTTAAGAACCCCTTTCCTAACTTTGCAGACACAAATTTTTTAGAAACCTCTTCCTCAACTGCTTTAGGTTTCACAGTTTGCTTCTTCATCTTCATAACCTTGGCTTCTTTGGAAGATCCCTCTGCCGCTTCAAAAGTAACCTTCTTAGGAAGAATACCAAAAGGAGTTGGCTCCATAAAATCTTTGTATTTAATCAAAAGCTTATTGGTAGGAGACACCAAATTGAGCATTACATCTGGAGTTCGACCAACCACAAGAAAAGTAATTAGATCATCTAAGGTAGAATTGGGAATAGTGATCAGAGCAAATGTCATAACATTATCACCAACAGGTAGTGGAATACCTTCTTGAGTATTAAACTCATTTAAAACCAAAATCCAACAACGAGCACTAGATACTTTTGTAGTAATCTTCGAATGATAAATTATGTTACCAAACTCTGCCAAAAGCTATGAGACATAATCCCCATTAAGACCATAGTACAAACCAACTATAATCATGTAGAACTTGAGTTTCTCCTTATCTAATCCAAAACTCCTGCTAGCTAAACAACGAAGAGTGATGCCAGAGATAAAAAAAAATCTATACACCCAGAATATTTGAATACTTGAAATTTATAACAACTGAAAGAGTTATCTGATGCTCCATTTCATTGATCATGTGCATGACATGTCACTCATAACCTCATTGAACTATGCATCAGATTGTAATTTCCAAAGCCAGACAAATTGATTCCTAGTCAAGCATTTTCTCTTATTCATGATCAACTGAATGTAACAAGTCATGTGGTTCTATTGTACACAAAAGTTGAAGCAGCCAAAGATAACCATTTCATAGGTATAAAAAAAGAAGCAATTAAAGCATGAGTGAGAATTGAATAATTCAACACTTGAATAATCATCTTCAATACGTCTAAATAATCATTGATCAATGGGTTGAACCAAAGATTGTTGCACTGAATCTTCATTGTTCGCCGAGAGAATTCTTCATCGTTTGTGTTGAATTGATCAACCACGGTGTTTCTAGTAGGTAGGATGAATGATCGAGAGAGAATTTGAGACTTGATTGCAAAGTGTATGTTGGGAATTTGAAAATGGAAACTTAATAATCACTTCTTTCTAAAGTAACCAGCATCAAATTCAAATTCAAACATTGTGCCAATTAGATAATGCTACATGTAAATTGAGTTATTGAACTTTCCATACCCTAAACAACCATGTGTAAAAAGTAATGATCACTTTTCTTGAGCCACGAGAAGTCACATAGAGGTAAGTCTCATTCACTAATGGTAATTGTAAGTAAAATCACTTGCTAAACTTTATGAAATCTAGGTCTAAGTTAGTAATACCCATAACCTCGATGATTTTAGTGTGTATGTGTGCCAAAAGAAAAGATAGAATAAAATTTAGAAAAAATTTAGACATAGCTACATAAAAAATTGATATAAAAGAAGATAGATCCCGGGAATAGCTATTGTTCATTCGTCATTAAGAGATATGTTGAATTGCTTGTGTGGTTTCCTCTATTTACAATTGTATAATCATTGAGGAGTAATGAAGGACTTCTTTTAATAAACTTTGTAGGTGTCTTCATTTTTTTAAAAAAAAATCGCAACTTAACATAAGTGCAAATTGTTGTACAAAAATACTTGTATGATTGGGTGTAGCCAATAACAAGTAAGGCTTGGAATTTTTTTTGAAGTAACGAAGGAGTAAGACAAATGTTCGTATGAAAATATCATTTCATAAAAAAACATGAATCTCTTTGGGAAGAAATGATTCGGGATTAGTCCATTTCATGAAGATCATACAAAAGGAAAGAAAATGAGATTTTGAACATCGAAAATGGTATAGTGAAACATAAAATTTCATAAAACTATTGAGCATTAAATATTCACCATCAATTCATGAAGCGGTGGTTTGTTGAGTCTCACCCTCATCATGGAAAACTGATTTTGGATCATAAATAAATAATTGTGACATACCTACATCCTAATTTTATTTTTCCAGAGATGCCCTGCAAATGCATCATTGTGTGTGCATGTGTAATAGTTTTAGGGTAAAAAAATTGGATACGAATATTCAATGTACCTCTACGAATGATAGGACATTACAGTTCTCTCTTTACTCAAAATGAGAACAGAAAGGTAGCTCTTGGATTATTGATAATGCAGTCTATTGAGAAGAAATTTTTTTATGAAGAATTTCATTATGGCTTCGTGCACAACAAGTCTATGAGGCTTTTGGAAAGCATGTTGCAACATGATTATAAGGATACTTAACTAGTACAAGAGTTTCGAATCATACCAGTTCCCTATTGAGCTTCACTTTCGGCATGCAAAAGAGCAACACATCGTGACAATGAACTTCCCAGTCTAAAAAAATAAGGAAAATATTTTTGTATTTTTGATTTTTGAAAATAAAATTCAAAGATAATGAAATGATTTTTCAATTTTTTAATTTTATAAAGAAAACAAAAAAATGAAGATATATATATATATATATATATATATATATATATATATATATATATATATATATATATATATATATATATATTGAATTTTATAAAGAAAATACAAAAATAAAGAAAATCTTTTTGGATTTTTGAATTTTATAAAGAAAAGAAAAAAATAAAAAGGATATCACCAACATTGGTCATTCGTTAATGATAACGAATATTTGTCCAAGGAACCAACGCTTCCCATTTTTCTTCTCACTTCCCATTTTTCACTTCACGTCCCATAAACAAGCACTTCCTACAAATACGAGCTTCCCAGGTATGAGCGTCACCTAGAAATATGTGTTTCCTAGAAGTATGTGCTTCCTACTTGTGATACACTTCTCAGTGAGAGACACTTCCCATTTTCTAGATGTCAACATATGCTGAACAGGTCAGAAACAATATCAAAAGTGAAATGGGTAGAAGCATTGAACGTTAACAGTAACCTCTAAATGAAATTTTGTCAATTAACAAATTTTTATCCAAAAATTTCGCAAATCAAACTTAAGAAAAATTAGATAGAATTAAGAACATGTCAAGCTTCCATCATTCCTAATCCATTCAAATTCTCAAAAATGATTTTTCATCCAAAGGTTTTGTAAAATATCATGAAGTTGGTATGTTGTCTTAACGTAGTGATCTTCAACATGATCTTTGATGAAGTGGTATCGAAGTGCAATATGCTTAGGTTTTGAATGTTGAACTATATTATGAAATATGCGAATTATGCTTTGAGAATCATGATATAATAGAATTTTCTTCATCTTAATCTCATAGTCACGTAATTGTCTTTGGATCCAAATCGCTTGGGATGTATAGGCTGCAACAACAATGCATTCAGCCTCAGCCGTTGAAATCGATACAGACATTTGCTTTTTTACCTGCCAACTCACCAAATTCCCATTTAAGAATTGAGATCTGCTTGTAGTGATTTTTCAATCTAATTTACAACTCCTAGATCAGCATCTGACAATGCTTGAATAATGAATCTTGTGTTCGATGGATACCACAATCCAATAATTGAAGTGTCATAAAGATAAAGAAAAATATTATTCACCGTTGCAAAATGGGGTTCTCTAGGATTCTCTTGGTACCTTGCACAATTACACACAAAAAACATAATATCAGGTCGACTTGTAGTTAAGTACAATAACAAACCAATCATGATTCTACATGTCTTGAGATCAACGGGTTCCGTATCCAACGAACGAATTAAGTGTAACATCCATAAAAATCATACCAAATGTAAACTTTTTAAATTTGTCAAAAACAATAGTTATTACAAATTTGTTTTCTAAATAGTATAACATCAGAGTATCCCATAAACAAAGTCATAAAAATATGAGGAATTGTATGATCATGCCTTTGCCTTCCCACAATCATCTGAGGTACCTGAAACAAAAACTGAAACTGTAAGCCCAAAGCCTACTGAGTTCCCCGAAAATACTGATACACAACAAATAGAACATATAAAAATAACAACATGTAATGGGTCCACAACTTTACCAACTGGATTACCCCTGGGCTCACAGTGTGAGTCTAGCTTGCCTTCCGGGCCCAAAGCTCACATCTAGCTTGCCACTCAGCCCACAATACGAGTCTGGCATGCCCTGTCCGGCCCTCAGGTCGTATCTGGAATGCTCATGAGTCCTCAGTGTGAGTCTGGAACGCCGTGCCTGGCCCTCAGCTCATATCTGGAATACTCTAGGGTTTGTTGGCTACCACACGGAGCAGTACAACTTCAACCCATCCCACATAACATGTCGACACATAACATAACTAATGCACATACAAATAGTTAGATAGTAACAAAGGTAGTCCTACAGATCTACGAAACTAGCATAACAACTACCATGCATAACTAACTCATACTCAACATATCCCAACTACTAGCATATCCGATCGAATGGGCTGGCATTGGTGCCTTCGACCCCTTAGTATAGTGAGGATAACTCACCTCACAACTGTCGAATTGAAGTGATAAGATCAAACTCTCAGATCACATCCACAAACTCCACGACCTATACTTACCATAAGACCATTTGCATAAATTTCCAATTTACCAAAATACCCCTAGAAGTCAAAATAGTTAAGCCTTGGTCAAAGTCAAGGTCAATGGACAAGATCAACAGTCCATGTTGAGCCAACCCATCGAGTGCAGCTCACTGAATCTTCAAGTCCTTCCAGAACTGGAGAATTCGTGAAACCCCCAGTTGACTCGTCGAGTTTCCAGACAACTCATTGATTCCATGCGTGTTCATAGTCGAGAAAAGCCTAACTGACCCATCGAGTCATCTCGCTGACTCGCCGAGTTCATGCAAAACCCTCAAAGTCTAATCTTCATCGGACTCGCCGGGTTGGCCATGCAACTCGTCGAGTCCCTTCACTCCTTTCTCAATTTAGATGCTTATAAGCAACCCCAAAGCTCCATATTGCAGATCTGAGTCCTTAGGACATACTTCCTACATAAGGTTGCAAACTTTACGCATGCAAGGTGCTAATGGCCAAAATCAAGCTAAAGGAGAGGTTCTAAGTGAGGAAAAGCCATTATCTTGCAAAAGGCTAAAGCTTAATGGCTATAAGAACCAAGATGAGCCTAGATTTGAAGTTGCAACTCCAGATCATGGACAATACCCAAAATGAATCACCAATAATGCTAAAATGGTGCTAATCTCAAGCACGAAGAGATCTAGATAGAAGGAAGTTCAAGGTAACGACTTGTCACCTTCAAGTGATGCTAAAATGGAGTAGAGTTAAGATCCACAATTTTTCCTTACTCCAAGCACCTTGATCTTCAAGCTCTTTTCACCAA